TAGACCGCGCAAAGGATTTCAATCTGCAACACGAGCATCTCGCGTCGGTTCGTCGAAAACTGTGGCTGGATACTCTGCACCTGCGACACAACAGATAGCCCTTAGACAGCAGTCTCAGGACTTCGGGTTGTCAGCACGTTGGGCACATGACCCCAGAAGCCACGTTGAAGGCTTGCCACTGTCCAGCGTCTAGGGTCTCCGGATTCAGGTTGAGGAGAAGCCCAAGTGACTACCAAGCAACATGCATCTGGAGTACGATGTAGTCCTAGTCTGTGTTGCTACCAGACGAGGGCGATATATCAGCCACCCCTTCCTGGAGTCGGAGTCTTAGGATGCTAGATGGATGCTACTTACTTCGCCCCAGGGTTCCAAATAAAATCCCAAAGTCTGTTATTCTTTTCACTCTCAAAATCATCATGGACCTCCACTATTGCCGCCTACGCTGGCCGACCTTGTCACCGCCCTTCGCAATGAGCTCGTTGAGGATGTAGAGCTCCTGCCAGGACAATGTCTTTGAATCCCCCACCCAAGCCCCATCAATGGCCTCTCAAGACACCCAGGAGGCGACTAGCTGGCACAACATTTTCTTGAATGAGAACTGGGAGGACCCGTCCGTCTGACAGCTCATTGCCCAAACAGGATCCAATGTCGAGACCCAACGTTGCACACCAGCCTGGATTGCATGCTTTTCATGCCTGCTCATGAGTGTGCTGTTTGCTTTTGTGGACAAAGCCATATGAAGCTGTAGGCTTCGGTAGGCTTCCTGGGATGAAGTGCCTGGAGTTGGGAAGCATGTTTGAGTTGAACCTGTGTGCAGCAAGGTGGAGGTGGGAAGGTCACAGAAAAGTTGGAGGCTAAGGCTCAAGTGTCAAGGATACTGCGCAAGTGCGAGCTCCAAACTGCACAAACACCTTCAGACCTTCAGCCGCGTAGAAGGCGAGACTGGATTTAGCTGCCTGCGCTTGTTGCTGGAAAAGCCTTACACAGCCCAGCAACTCTGAAAGCTACCAAAAGCAAGACACATAGCTCACAATTCTTAGGAAACCTCCCACTGCCAGGTGGGTGGGCGTATAAGCTTAAAACTTAAGAAAGGCCTGGAGCTCCCGAGAAACCTCCAATGAATTGACCCTCCCAAGTCACCGACCCCTAGCCCAAATCCAAAAGATGATGTCCTGATGCGTTAGCGCATCGACGAATACGTGCTCCTGCACCGCATCATTCTACACAACCATGGAGCAGAAAAGGTCTGGCAACGGTTTTAAGAGGGAAATCTTGGCTAGCAGCTCATGTGATGAGATCTTTTCAAGTTTTGCTGTTCAGTCCTTCTTTTAATTTATTTGAGGAGGATTCCAGTTTGGCTCCGGAAGAGCACCTTGCGCAGCACGGGGCAGTTCGTAGCCACGACCCTCACCAAGAACGTCAGCAGTTGCCAAAGCATCACCGACGAGGGCTACAGTTCCTGTGGCCGTGTGGATGTTTGTATGTATGCCCATAATTGTGCTAGAGGTCGTCTCACCACACGACTCTGTATGTCACACCCCTGGTACCTTGGGGCTTGCATGCCTTGTCCGCAGGTCAGCACCTGTTTGTCAGAAAGCGCAGCCCCAGGTCGCATCCACTCACACAGCTGATTTGGTTGCAGCTCAGTAAATTTATGATCCTGAAGAAGACTTCTACCATCCCGGCTTGGAGCACAGAGTGAGTTTCATCACAAGCTTCTTCAAGCCCACTGGCACAAGCTGCGGCCGCCGGGTGAAGCCGGGTGAATGAATCGAAATGTCATGCGTTCTTGGTTTTGGCTCTTCCTAATGAATCGCAACCGCGAGCGCCGACCATCCAAAGATTGCCAAATCCAACGTCCAACTAAACCAGCACCTCAATGCGCACATCCGGTACCAAAGCATGCGCATGTTGGCAACAGCGCTGGCTGTGAAAGACAGGAATAGTGCCATGGTAAATGCCGGCATTTTGCACATGCTTGCATGCATCGTGTCCACCTCTGTTGAAGTGCAAAAGCGTCCGGGTTCAGCGGCCACTTGGTTGCAGAAATCTTCTGGCAACCAAAATATGAGTCTTAGATGTTGTCTCACTCTGAGCATTTGTACATTCACATCACGCTGGCTTTTTGGGAGAACGTCAGAAGCCTGGCTAGTCCAATGGCATGCCGCATGAGACCAATGTGCATGACAAGGACAGCACCGAAGCTTTTCGAAATCCATCCCACAGAGAACGCCTGGAGCACAGACAGCGGTACTACGACAACTTCAGATTTAGATTCAATCGTGCCGCGCTACACGTCAGCAGGAGCATCACTGTTTCGAGCGTCAGGCTTAGAAAGGCCATCTTGCGTCGTACTGTACCGATGCCACAACGCAAAGAAAGTGATCGGACTTCCACAGGAAGGAAATGTCGTTTCTCCACCGTGCTTCGACTTAAACTCAACCGAATGTCCATGCAAAAGACAGCTGGAAAGCAAGGAGCACCTTGAAGAGCTCAGCAACATCGTGGTGGCAGTCCTGCCAGAACTCTGGGGCTGCAGATTACTTGGGGAAGACAAAAGTGTACGGCTTTGGGCCATGGGGTCAAGGCCCTGATCAAGTTGCAACATGAGGCAAGCGTGTGGCGCTCAAGCAAGCGGCAATCACTATCCTCTCTTCCAGCTGACCCGCTAAGCGGCAAGCAGGGAACGGCTCAAGAGCGCAGGACTGGGTCTGAAAGGCTAATTCCACATCAATGAACGACTGTCCACTCTGTACTTTGAAACCCCTCTCTTTCAGGCTCGCCTGGCATACCTTACCACATATTGATTCCATCTCTTCGAAAAGCTGAATGCTGTTTGGAAAGAGAAGGTCAGGGAAGCTAGACGTATGTTTGGCGCCCGTCTGGGGAACGGAGGACCCGCGCCTGGGTGAACTTAAGCTCTTGGCCCTGGCCCCAGGGCCAGATGGCGTGCCAAATTTGAGGTTTTTTGGGGTTTGGGATCTGACCGACCCCCAGGCCCCAGGGGTATTTTCAGCGCATGATCCCCAGACAGGAGCCACTGTCAGACTACGCAAGAAGTAAACCCCAAGCTTCGCCCAAAGACTGCCAATTGCTTCAAGACTCTATCCAAGAATCTGGGTCTACGCCAGAAGTAGTGGACTGGACTTTGCCAACACGGCCATCCTTGAGATCAGCCCAGTGGAGCAAAAGCTTCGCCAGCTCGAAGTCAGTTACCGGCAGGTCTGGAAGAGACAGCACCTGGGATTTAGGCGCGTAGGCTAGAATGAGGTTGGGTGGAGTCGACTGAACGGTTGAAGTGGATCTAAAACCCAAACCCAAGACGCCTCTGCCAGTAGCCCCGCGTCCAACGTGTAAAGGACGGGGAGCATCTGCTCAAGGTGGCCTGGCATCCAGCTTTAGCTGCTTCAGCTTGGATCTGAGGATTGCTTTATCTTGGGCATGTCTGCTTTGACAGTTTCCACTTCAATTGCTTGGGAACCTTGATTTGAAATTTATGGCTCAGACTTGGGTGAGGTAGCTCAGCTGCGTGTGGAATCAGATGGTGCGGGGCTTGGGGCTTGGTGCGCGCAATTCCTGACCCGCAAGGTTGTGGAGCCATTGAGTGCAAATCGGTGAGCGCACCATCTGAGGAACTCAGGCGGAATCTATATCAGTCGAAGTTCCTTGTTTACTCTAACCCCGTGCAAATCGCCATGGCATTGCCCCTAAACTGCGGCAGGCCTCTACCCGAATGCTGACATACACGAAAATTTCAAATTTCATCTGTACTTGGGACGTCCTCCCACTGTGCTGGCACGGCCGGCCTGCGAGGAAACGGAGGCATGGCTCCTCTGGTCAAAGAACCCAGCGGTTTCGGATTGTGTTGGTCTCTGGCGGAATCTGGGGATGGGGCATGACAAAAGCATATACCCAGGGCTTCCGGATTTTCACAGCACAGGATACAACCCCCTGAAAACACCAAAGTTGTCCGGAGTCCCAACTCCCACCACTAAAGCCCGAAAATATGGCCTTCACGGAGGATAGCTTCAGCTTGTCTGCCACTGCCAGAATGCAAAAGACGCCTGAGATGGGTCTGATAGTGGGACCTCAAGAAAGGAGCCCGGTGTTGGTAACAGATGGTAACAGCAACAACCAACATGAGCTTGATGGAGTACGCGCAGGGTCGGTTCACGTTCTGCATCAGCCTCATAGAAGCCAAGCAATTACAAGTCAAACACTGGACAGTTGGTGGGATTGTCCTTTGGGGATCTGGTAGCCATGTCGCAAAGCTTGAGATCACTTTGGTAGATACTCTGCATGCAAAAAGATCTAAATGAGATGATGTCCCGCAACCCTGAAGAGACTCCCCCAGGACCCCTGAGAACACATGCTCAACAAGTCCACGCGCGAAGAAGTCCCCAGACCTGCAGAAGAGTCTCTGAAACATCTTCCACATACCGTGAATCCCGGCAAGTTGCTGTCTTCGGTCAATGCTGCCTCGCATCGCTGGATGCACTCAGAGAGGAGTGGGGCGATGCCTCGAAGCTTATCAAGTTTGAACAGTTCCACCTGGCTTTCTGAACCAGGTGAATGCTTCGCTCAAAAGTGCATCTGGAAGGATTGCTCCATTTCGCATAGTCAAGTGTCTGGCTGGTACTGAACAAGTAATTTGCTTAAACATCTGCTTAGCACCCTGGGAGGAATGAATAAGTTGCTGTGCTGGCTGCTAATCTGTGATGGAGTTCGTCAAAGCAGACACGCCACATGCCTACTTCCATCATTCCGACTGGATTGTGGCTGATGTGGGATCTTGTTTCTGGATTCGGGTCTCCAACGTAGGAGTTTAGGACGAAAGCCTCAAAGAACAGATTTCTTGCTTGCTAGAAATCTTTGAGCTCCACATTCTGCCCTTATATCACATGTGGGTCGCCCATGTCAGAAGCTTGCGCACTTGCAAACCCCATCAGTAAACCTCTTCTACAAGAGAGTCGTCTCTGCATCCACGAGAGCCCAGGCACCATACTTGTCCGCAAAAGCTGTCACTTCTACCAGCAGCTCATCTTCAGCGTCGCACTCGCCTCTGACGGATGGTCCAATGCAAACGACATCTTGGCAGAGTTAGACAGCCTACACCAATTTTGTTGGTGGGCAGCAGATACACTACAGGGTTTTAAAGTCTGGCACGCTCGTCTACCAAAGAAACCTTTTGCGGTGGCAGACAAGTACAAGACGACGAAATTGGAAAGTTGTGGTGCGCACGAAATTCAGGACCATCAAGCTCTTACCACTACCTTAGAATAGGAAAAGGACCCCGCTGGGGCGTCGGGTAACCCTGATGCTCAACGCCCTAGGAACCTCCAATGCCAAACACCAAGACAACGCCAAGACAATGCCAAAATCTGAAGTCTGAAGACCGCCAAGCCAACATTTCAGGTCTTTAACCTAATTTGCCCGCTTATCCGCCTGTATACATGAACTCGAGTGCGCGCTCCACAGCTGGTGCGGAAAAGTCCTTCACCGTGAGCCTGCAAGTGAGTTTGGGTCTTCAGCGTTTTCGGGCCCAAGCACTACCATGGGCGAGGCTAGCCCTACCGCCCTACGGCTCCTTTTGCTTACATAGAACCCTGGGTCCTGCTAGAGCTTGACATGAACCACAAGTTGCCTGCAGAACCTTGAAACAATCTGCAGCACAGCTTCAATCTCCAAGTAAACCACAGCTCTCCCAACTGCAACGGCAAGACAATAAGCCAGCACACTCTACACAAAAAGCCCTGGCCAGAACTGTTTGAAGTAAGCACATATTGAAATGCAAGTTCAACTCATAAGTAAACTCACAATGTGTGCAATGACGGGTTTCATTCCATTTTCTGTACTGGCGTCTTGCCCCCCTTCTTTCACCAGCAATCACACCCCCAAACGGCCCCAAAGGAGACAAGGAATGATTGGCCTCTGGCTGGCTCTTTCCAGGCAATCATGCGATGCCATGGCGGCAAAGGTGTCGGACCAGGCGGCCAGGAGGCCTTGGGAAGCGTCGCAAGGAGGACCACTCCCGGCATCCCGGTAGATTCAGGACTTGTGGTAGAGGGTTGAAAGCTTCTGGAAAAGAATCTTTGATTTGGGTAGGAAGAAATTCGGCGGAGCGTCAGCTGGAGGAGACCCGATCGGATGCTGGGAATCGAGCGTATTTGGTCGGATGATCTCATTTGTTGCTTGATCTGGTTTGATCATAGCAAGCAGCTGTCTGAAGGCGTGCACGAAGTTTACCAGTCACAGCTGTGCAGTACTGTACCGGCAGAACGTGAAGGCCTTGTGCGCATCAGGGGTCTTGGAAGGGTCAGCGGAGCACGACTTTTAAGTCCACTGTTTGCACCTTCGGTTGCTGTTCTACCGGGCTTGCGAGCCCACCAGACAACCAACGGCATCTTGAATCGTCGCTGACGCGTGCTACAGATGCTTGAGAGAGATTGTAAACATCAGGTAGTCGAACGCTCGTTCCAGCTTTCCTGAGACCTTATCACAAGAAAAGGGTCAGAATTCTTAGAACTTTGAGGAACGCCCCGGGCCCCAACGTTCCTTGCCGCTAAATGCTCAACAACCCAAACATCGATAAACCCCAAAAAGTGAATCCTTTGAGGAAGGGGCCTGCAGAGTGCAGATAAGTGGCTGGACCATACTAGAAACTCCTGGTCCTCCACAATCACCTGAGGCTTGATGTTCTGCGGCTTGAGATTTGAGGGGGTTTCTGATCTGGGTCATTGCAGATTTGCATTCGATAATTCGAGGACAGCTGATGTGGATTGAGGCCTTGGCTGTGAAGATCTCGGGGTTAGCGATTAGGATTCAAGATTGGGGTGGTGCTTTGGCGTTGCGCTCTAAGTTTGCCTCCCTATTCGAAATGTTCATACAGCAAGCTCCATTGGGGGGCCCAACGTGTCTTGCTAGTGAATACCGCCACTGTACAGGCAGGACAAAAACCCAGTGGGACAAAAAACCCTGCCGCGGCCTGGTGAAAACTACGCAAAGAACTAAGTGTACAAGCCCTGTTGCTCTCTCCT